GCTGTGTATTTTAATAAACAGTTCCTGTGCTCCTTTCCAAATTGTACTCATCTTGCAGGTGTTGAAAGTCTACATTCACTGCCTTAACAACTTTCCTCTTCAGTCTGCCATTCTCAGCTTATGGGGTATCAATACTAAACCATTTAGCAGTTATGAGAATGTAAACATTTGGGTAATTGAGAATTTAATGGAATTTTTTTAAAGTACTGAGAAAAATGGTGAAATGTAGACTCATAGAATAGTTTGGGATGGAAGGGCCTTTGGAGGTCATCCAGACTAACATGCCTGCAGTAAGCAGGAACATCTTCAACTAGATCAAGTTGCTCAGAGCCCCATCCAACCTGACCTTGAACGTTTCTGGGGATGGGGCATCTACTACCTCTCTGAGTGACCTGTCCCAGTGTTTCACCATGCTCATTGTAAAAAAATTCTTCCTAAGATCTGTCTAAATCTACCCTCTATCAGTTTAAAACCACTGTCCTTTGTTCTACCCCTACAGGCCCTGCTAAAAAGTTTGTCCCCATCTTTTTTATGTCCCCCTTTAAGTATTGAAAGACAACAGTAAGGTCTCCCAGGAGCTGTCTACTCCTGGCTGAATAACCCCAGTTGTCTCAATCTTTCTTCATAGGAGAGGTGCTCCATCCCTCTGATCATTTTGGACTCACTCTAACAGGTCCCTGTCTTCCTGTGCTGAGGACTCCACAGCTGCACACAGTACTGCAGGCTGTTGTCTTGTTTCTGATGTGCTCTTGTCCTTCTGACATCTGTGTCTTATGTGCTAACATGCAAAGTTTTGGATTGAAGACCTTGGGTTTTGTGTCTGTTAGAGGCAAGTGCCTACCAGATTGCCTGTCTACAAGATCATATGCCAGAAGTGTTTCAAATGGTAATGGAGATCATAATGACTAAAAAAATCAGAGAGATTTTCAAGACTGTCTTCCCTACTGCATTGCATCCTGCTTGGGCTGGTCTCTGTGTATACTTATTTGGCATCCAGTGTTCCAGCCATTTTTATTTTAGGATTTCTTTCCATTTAATGTTGGCACTTAGCCAGCTGTGTACTTTTTTAGTTTTAAGTAGCAATGAAGTCATTAGCCATTATAGGAGCTATTCCTCTCATTCTTGTACATGGACCCCAGAAGAGCTCTGGGCATGATTGCCCTCTTTGGAAAGCTTCATAGCCAATCCTGGTTGAAGAAATTATTAGAATACAGACATATACAAAACAGTGTCAGAGCAAATGAAACTCAGAGAGTGCTCGTCAAATGGATGTATCAAAGTTTGGACAAAAGTGCTTTGAAAGTGCCTGAAAATTAAGGCAAGAACAGAGCCCCCAGTAATGCTGCTGGTAACTGCCTGTATTTTAAAACAAAGGCCCTGCAGTACTGGGGATGAAGTGATGAACAACACAGCAAATTACCCCAGTTTTAACAGAAGGTGCTGTTGATCTGTGTGTAAGACAGTGTCTGGTTAGTATGTACTCACATGACAGTATTTTTTCTGGACACAAAGAGATCACTAGACCCAGTCAGGTAATTCAGGTAATGCTAGTGCTGTGAAGGATGGCTGTGTAAGCAGACAACTTGAAGCAGCAGAGAGTATGTCCTGAGGGGTGTTGTCTGCTGTATTTCAGTTCTGTTGCACAGTTGGATATAAGTATTTCAAAAAGGTGATGGCCAATGTGCACATTTCCTTTTTTTTCTATGTTAGTAATGACTACATTCACAGTGCTAGAATAAATAAATAAAAAAGTTTTTGTAATTCCTGACAAAAATTTGAAATGGTTATCTCGAAACAGTGAATTGTACGAGGCAAGATGATGCAGCAGGTTTGACTTGAATCCTCCTGTTCTTGCTGCTTCTGAGACGTGTCCTGTACCAGAAAAGAGTGACAAAGTGTACTGTGAAGACTCTAGCCTTGTTAATTATTATGTTGAGTATCTAGAGAGAATATGAAACTTCTGAGGACACCTTTTATTGTAATATGCTTAATTACCTGTACCTAGAGCAAGAAAATGAAACGTATTATGCTCTGTATGCATGCCTGAAGAACTAGAGACCAAGTTTGCAATTTGCAAAGGTGTTTAATTGAACAGTATGAATTTAAGGACCTTTGTCAATCTCATGTATCAAAGAGCTCTGTTTGAACACTTCTATTTTAATTCCTTACCTAAACTATTGATAGTTAATTGGCTGAGGTAAATGAAGCACCATAAGCAGAATTATGCTTCATAATATTGCATCTGTGATGGTCTCTTTGTGCCACTTGAGAGGTATGATAGTTAAACTGGTTTTATGCAGGAATTTGCAAAGCCCAAGGTGGATTAAAGCCAGAATAGCATCTCTATGCCACATCCACCTTGGCAGATGGTACAGCCAGGGTGCCATGGGCCTGCCTGCCTAAGCAGCCCTTGGGACAGAGCCATCAGGTATGTGTCCAGCCACCCTCCAGGCTCCTTGAACTTCATCAGGAGCTAAACAGCCCACAACAGCCTTTGCATCAGATAGCAATGCTGGCTGAATGTTACCCTTTAACCTGTTCACCTGGGATATCACAATCAGCACAGATAAAATAAACATTGTATTAATTAGGTTTATATTTAGGGATGCCCTTTTTTCAGAGTTTTACGGCAATTTCATTATGGTACTGTTTCCTAAAATAAGAAACTAGTCACGCCCTTAGCCCCTAACACTCCAGTGTAAATAGTGACCAAAAATAACATCATGTCTGCTATCACAGAACTGGGTTCTGTTTTTTATCAGTGCCTCAGTAATTTTGTATTTTTTGTCTTTTAACTTGGAGAGTAATTATGTTGTTCCATAAATAGAAGGCATCTCTTAGCTATTATGATATTACATTTCTTATTGTATGTTTATCTACTTATGGCCATGTGGTAAGATGTGCATATAGCTCATGGAGGTAAATATTGTAATGTATTAAACCCAGAAGTGTTCAAGTGGCTTTTTCCAGTATTTAAAGGGTAATTTGTAGAAGCCCTGTATGTATGGTCTTTTCTGTGTATTGCATGCCATGTGTGTGAAAGTGATTATCAGGAGATAATTGATCTAAGTTCTCCCAAATCATTCAGTTGCAATTATATCTGTGCAACATAATTTTTAACTATGTTTTTAAATCAGAGTGTGTAACGACAAAATATTCAACCTGTTGGGGTTTTCTTTTTCCAAAGGGTATAATTTACAGAGGAAATTAATTGTCTCTTCTCATAGCCATTATTTTTCTACTACTATTATTCTCACGGTAAATAATCTTTGGTAGCTGGATGCTACAGTTTGTTGTTACCCAGAATTTCAGAGAAATAAACCTAAGAATCTTCAAAGTGAAGCAGATGTTGGTGAGGAGGAAAGGGGCTGTAAGAGGAAGAGCAGAGTATTAGGGAGGAGAACCTACACTTCCGCATCCAGCAGCACTGAGTTTCGGTTGCCCTCAGTGAGATGCTTGATACATACGTGGTGTTACCAGCATGGCATTGACTGTGTAGTGTGCTGTAGATTACATTTTGTGAGCAAGCTCTGCCTTTGGGTAACTTAATTTCATTTTACAAGGTGACAGAGCTATCAAGAACAAAGTGTTCATGTGGTTAGAAAATCTCTTTCAGTTCTGCTGCAAGTGAGGACACAACTAAATCATGTTTCCTGTGGAAAGCTGTACAGTTTCTACTGTGCAGCTGGTGCATGGCAGCTCCTACCCCATGGTACCCTGTGTGCTCCTCCTGGTTGTTCTTGAGCAGTACAAAATGTAAAATCTCCTTGAAGTTGGCAGAATTACTGAGCTATCTCTGTGGTGTGATATAAATTAAGGCTTTGATTTGCAAAATATATTGACTGGGTGTTGCTATTGCATTTTAGCAATTTTGTCTGTAATACTAGTACTTTGTCATAGGTCTAAGATTAATTATTTCAGCTTCACTCTGAATACTCTGTGCACCTATTTCCCCCCATTTTCAAGTTCCTCTAACTTGGCCTCTGCCCTGTTTACCATCCGAGCTGTTATATTTTGAGATAATTGCCATGTTCTGTTAGAAATAACCCAGGCTGTTAAACCAATTTTATCTTATTGTTGAAATTTAAAATACTGCAGAATTTTTGTAATCCAAACTGCTAGCAAAGTCTTAATTGAATTTCCTTTCTTGTGGTCTTGTGTCTGAAGGTTCTGACTATGCTGCTGTGTTTTTATGAGGTGGATTGGCAGGTAGTGCTGTTTGCATTTTTGTTAACTTCCATAAGGTGCAGTAAACAAATTTTAATGCAGATTTTATGGAATGTTTATTAAATCTGTGAGCATGTTTCACTGCATCAAAGACACCATACTTAGGTGAATAACTATGTTTAAATCCCATGTGGCAGTAAAGTGCATGACTGCCTGTCAAAAGAACTGAATTGTCTTTTAAAACGAAATGGATATACTAACTTTTCATTTGCTTTAAATGTGTAATTGCAATGGGCTTTTGAACCTGAGGAGAAAGGGGACTGCCTGTGGCTACTTCCTAAAAGTACCTGAGTTGAAGCACAGCAATGTCATTTTTCTCCTATAAAAAGCCAGAGACAAATTGTTTTGTAAGATATCTATTCTGGCTCTTATATTTGCAAATTGATTCAGTTAACAGCCAGTGCTTCGCACAGACAAGGGAAGCTTTTCGCTAGACAGAATTGTTATGTCAGCAAGTTCAAGAGTGAGTGAAGTTTGACAGTTCTTCAGAAATGAAGGTAGTGTATGTGTTACATCGATCACTGAAGGTGATAGAAACCAGGCTGTTTACAACCTTCTGAAGAAGACAAAGGCTAATGCTCTGTATTAACATTGTGGTTACATTTTAATGTGGCCTATATATACATTTTCCAGGCACTTACTTTTTGAAGTACAAGTTTAAAGAGAAACTTTCTACTTTTTTATACATTGCAATGGTATCCTTGAGAACTAGAAGAAAATGGGAACGTAATAACTTTTTAACATGGTTTGAGGGTGTATTGTATTATACAAAGCTCGTAATTTTAAGTAGGTGTCCCTGTGTAGCATGAGGTACACTGCCCATGGTGTTGCATACCCTTCAGGATTCTAGACATGCTCACTTGTGGAATTATGCTCGCTATTAAATTGCAAACCATTATGTGACAGTATTATGCTAAGGCTGCACGGATGAAATTGTGTTACAAGATGAAGTGAGAAACGTATTCACATTGTAAATATTCATGTTCCAAGGTATGTTCCTTTATTAGACCATGCTGATAGTGGGATTAATTTGCAATCATAATTTACCCTCATTAAGAGCCTTTTTCTGATGCATATTGTCTGATCGAAGTCTTTTTACTTTCACTCAAATGATGCATCCCACAGCATTAAAATGGCCTCTTCACAGTTTTTCAGGTGGAGAAGTTATTTACTAAATACTGATTAAGTTTGTTTTCAAGGAATATTTGATTTTCCTGACCTTTTATGTCATTTTAATTTCATGTTATTTGAATTGAAATGTCATTTTTTTTAATAGAACCTAAAATAGACTTTATTAGTTTTCCTGAAAGCTGTGTGCAGCTTTGCTTTGGCCCATTTAAATATTGAAACCAGCAGGATTTGAGATTTTTCTTATAATCCTCAACTAATAGAGTATAATGCTTTGTTTGGCCTACCGTACACAGCCTAAGCAAAAGTTTTAAACAAGATTAAAATATGACCTTATTAACCCATGGCATCTAAAGATACAGAGCAGGCCTGCAGAGACATCAGTTGTTCATTAGCCAGGAGAGCATGGAGCCATTCCCAATCTACTCAGTCTGTTCCAGAAGAAAACATTTTGGGAGCCCAGGTTTTTTCTTTTGTAGTTTTGGCCATCATGCCAGCACCCAGGAATAAGAAAGAAAAAAGCAAGAATCTGTTTCCAAGTTGAATATTCATTCTCCATGGGTGGGAAAAATACAGTTCAATTACTTCTAGAAATTTGAGGTGCTACCTGGCTGAGGTTTCTCTGGAACAATTCTGGCAGAGTGAAGGGACGTCAGTGGTTGGGGCTTAGCTTTTGTTGTCTGCAGTTCCATCAGTGCCTGAAAAACAGTAATTTCACCTTTCTTTTTATGAAGAGAAGTTTAAGTTGTGTGTAAGCTGTTGGGTGAATGATTGATGAACATGTTGAGTTCCAGAAGAATAGAGTATCTCATTGTCATGGCAAATTTACGCTTAGTAAACATTACAAAACACAAAATGACATGATACATTCATTGCTGTGTAATAAGAATCCTTGTTTACCAGGCATGCTATAGGGCCATGGCAACAAAACCAGAAATAGGAACTATGAGTATTCTTGTTGTGAAGATGATGATGGTTATCAAGCAGTTTGTTAATTGCTGGGGTTTTATATCACTTTGCAGTGCTCCTAGTAGTGTTTGGATCAGTGAAAAGACACAACTGTAAAGTCTGGCTAAAATCTATAACAAAAAGATTCTGGTTTATTGTATGGTATGGAAGAGACAGGTAACTGCACTTAGCTAGTGCTTTGAGACAGTTATCTGCAAGTGTTCCAGTGGAGAGAATCTAACGACAATTTGCTTAAAAAAACAAACAAACAAAAACCACAACAAAACAGAAAACTTTCTAAAATTCTGTATTTCTAATGATGTTACAAAACAAAGCAAGATGGCTGAATATTATTACTAATCTGAATACATTTTCCTTAAGTTCAAAAGCCAGCTGAAAATTGGCGGCAAAATCAAGGCAGACACGTTGCTTACACTGTCATTGATAAACATTTCCTGCTTTCATACCACTATTCACATTTTTTTAATAAAGGAACATAATATTTAAAAAGCAGAAAGTGGCTGATGTTTTTGAAATGTTATGTGCACTAACTGAAAAATACAGTACTTGTACACCCACTGTGAGTCTTGGTCTGTGGAATGGAGAGTTTCTTAACTCTTGGGGCAATAGGAAGTGTTGAATATGGGAAGGAAGAGGGTGAAAAGGCCTCAGTTTTTCCCTCTCTTTTCCTGTCTCATTTGTTTTCCTTAGTTCGGTGCATGTGGCCTTTCCTGGCTCACTGCCTTTTTCCCATCAGTGCTGCCAAATCCCTACAGCAAAGAGCTAGTAGTCTTTATGAATAAGGTGGTTGGTAGGTAGATGATGAAGTCTAGGGACCAAGAATTTACATCTCATTGTTGCTAACTTCATTTTCTTTCTGCATTGAGCTTCACTGACCTTCCTCACCTTGCCCCATAGTTTTGAGAATAAACACGGTGGTCAGTGTTGATGAGCTCATGTTCAGGGATAATTGTGTTTCTTTTTGGTAGAGTTCTGCTTCTGCTTCAGACTTGTTCTCTGCACAGCTAAGCCATCCAAAATGAGTTGATATGATGCTGCTGTTTGCTTCCATCTCTAAGAGCAGCACTTGCATAGCACTCATGCTTTCACAGCTGTAGAATGGTGTACAGTAAGATCCTCCATGTCTGTATCTAAAAGGCAGTGAACATGTGTCTGGCACAGCAGGATTTTTCTTGACCCTATCTTTTACAAAAGTTGCATTAATCTTTCATTTGATAACTAAAATTCCCACCAGTCTTGGTTGTCTGCATCTGCCTTGTTATTTGAGCAGTACTTTTTTTTTTTTCTTCAACTGTTCTGCATTCTTGATTGGTGAATATGCTTTCAGTTTCATTTTGCTCATTGGTTGTGAATGATTATAGGAAGGGTAAAAGTGATAAAAAACATTTGCAATATGTGTACTTAATTAACTCAGTGTAATGAGGTTTTCAAGCTGCAATCTATTAACTGAAAGCATGAGCACCACTTTTCAAAGAGTGAAAGAAGAAAACATACTGTTGAAGTTTCCAGTCTCTGGGATATTGTGCTGAAAAATACTAGTTTTCAAAATGAAAATAAATAAATAAATTGTTGTTATAACTATTCAGATAACGAAAGCATTCTGTAAAAACAATTTAATGGGGATTAAAAGGTCATTTAGACAATTTAGGTGTTGGGGTTTTTTTATAATTATATGACTAATGTGGTTTACCTCAGTGTAGTAATTTTATGGTGCGTATAACAAGAAATTAATAAGATAAATCTTTGTCATAGTGCGTTACAACTAAGTTGCAGTTTACAGACTCAATACTAGCAATGCCATTAGGACGCTAATTCCTGGTTATACCAAATGCTTGATCATGCATTTAATTTGATTGCACTATTTGGCATTGAAAATACTGTTGTCAGATTTGACATAAAATACAGTACAAATACAGTAGAGGCAGTGGTTTTACACATTAGCTGGCTTGAGCCTTATGCTTTTTAATTTGACTGCAGTTAATCCCCTTTATTATTTATTTTAGATCTGATGTCTGAACTGTTAATGTCTCTGTCAGGCTGTGTTCTCTGCTCTAGTGCTTTCTGCTATGACATAATTTTTGTGGAGTATTTTTTTTGTAGTTTGAGGTTCTTTGGTCTCCTTTCATTTGTTTTTACTTTTAACAACTGTCTCTTTTTTGTCCTCTTATTTGTTGACAGTTTATGCTTGTCTAAAAAATTCCCATTTATGTCTAGTATTTTGCATTCAGATGAATCAAAATATGTTTGATTTTGTAGAGTGTCTTAGTCTAAGTCAAAGACTATAGTAAGTTTTTATCTAAGCATAATTAGATAGTAACTTTTGGATACAAATAGATGTTTACTGTTTAAGTAGAAAAGTTATGAGGCAGTTAAGTGTATCTACAAAAGTATTCAGTGACTTAGACCACTTTAGTCAATAGTAACCATAGTTTTGATAGAATACTTTTCAAGTTCATGTTCTGTTTCAAAAATATATTCTGCTTTTACAGTTTCTGGATTTAATAATGTATTTTTTATTACAGGGAGAAGAAAATGAAAATTCAGGATATTAAAAACAATATTAAAGAAGCTATAGAGGTAAACTTACAAGCGATTGTTTTTAACTATTCAAAACTAGGTATTTAGGCACTGCAATATTTCTTCTTCTTTTTTTTCCTTTGCAGACAATAGTGACAGCAATGGGCAATTTGGCACCTCCAGTTGAACTAGCCAATCCTGAGAACCAGTTTCGAATCGACTACATCTTAAATTTAGCCAACCAGATAGACTTTGATTTCCCACCGGTAAGTAAATAATTGGAGTTGACTGCAGTCGTGCTTTTTGCAGATGATTGTATTTCACTGCACTGTAGTAAATATTTACAAAAAACAGTGAGTTGCCCTTTTGGGAATTACTACAGTAGGTGTCTTTGGTCAGTACTAATCAAATAAAGTATATAACAGCACAACTAGTATATTTAGGCTGACCCTTTATAGAGACCTATGTCTCCTTTTTTTGTGCTCTACCAAAATAATCTGCTATGGTTAAGAAGGGCAGTGCTGGCAGTAATGTTTGTATGTTGTTGAGAATTGCCCTGCCCAAAAGGACTCTGTTGATGATAGCTGGCGTGTAGTGATACTGTATTTTTCTCTTCTGGAAGAATAGTAGAGTTTTCTTGCTGAGTCAGACCTGTTCTCTGCTGGCTGTGTCAGCCAGACTTTCTGCAAAGGCTCTCCTCATGCTATGTCCTGGCCCAACCCACCTAGTCCTAGTTAATCATTCAAAATGCCAGCAGCCCTAGAGTAAATGCAAAAAGTATAATTATTTGTTTGATGGTGTAACTTTGTGCCCCCTCACTGTGATAAATTGCTACTGTATCTCAACCAGGTTAGTGGCAGAAGCCCATGAAAATACACTTTGCAAACACTGAGCTCATACATACTGAGAATATACTAATTACCATGAAAAGTACCTTATACTTGCAGTTATACAGGACAGGTTCAAAGCTTGTATTCTTTCTCTTGTTTACTGTTCCAGAGAGCTGAGGGTAGGTTTTATGATGATGTATTAAAATTACGATCCATTTACACCAGAATTTTGTTTCCAGCAGTAGTCAGTTCCAGGTGCTTGAAAAGGAAATGCAAATGCAAGTGGTAGCAAGATGTGGGACAGTTTGCACCACAGCAAAGTTTTTTAACTGTTTTATTACTGCTTTGGGGAATTTCTCTTCTTTGATCAGCCTTTATTAAAATAAAAAAACGAAGAGCCAAACCCACATACTTTGTGTGCAAGGCAGAAGTCATGTGCTATTAGCAGTTAATTGGAAATATTAACTTTGTAATCTTGAAATCCATAATCTTTGAAGTTCAGCAGACACAGGTTGGTGGAGAGGGGGATGTATGATTCTTCTGTATCATATACAATGTAATGTTAGTCATTTTAGGTTCAAGAACCTTAAATAAAGGAGAGATTTTAAGATTTTTGACTTGACACCTCTAATTTTGACACTTGTCAGTGTTACTGATAGGAATATTTGGTCCCATCATGGATGATCATCCCCTGCTAGTGAGGCAAAATTTTCTTAGTCAATAATTTTAGAAGAATATTCAAGGTAAAAGACAGCAGCTCCTTGCCCCACCCTGTGTGTTCTTGAACTGGCTGCATGCCTGCAGCTCTCTACTGCCCATTGTTCTGTGATAGTTCAGGTTGTGATCTGTAACAATAACAAGTCCCTGTGACCTACCTTGTACTGAAATACTTGATTTTCCTTGTCTTTTCTATCTCAGAGGGGTTTGTTTTTTTTCTTTCATTCAATTGGAATTCAGTGATTTTTATTTCTTTTATTTTCCTCTGAAAGCAAGAGGTGATTATGTAGTGGTAAGTGAATAAACCAAGTCTGTTTGTGTTACATTAATTTTTTTTTATAAAAAGCAGTTAATATTTAGTATGTATTATCTCTGGTAGGACACATGGTATCAAGTCCTTCATGTCTAAAGCAATGGAGGTGTAATTACCAAATTCAGTTCATTCAGTGAAGAGTCTTTGATGTGCTGAATGACACACAACTTCAGAAATAGCAGTGCTCCAATAAAACTAGTTTTTCTTCTCTGAGCAAAGGTATTGTGTTAAACTTCTAAGTCCTGAGTCTACTTAGGTTTAGGCGTGTGCATGATTTTGACTAGTGTCCAACTTCATTGGCGTGGTTAACTATTTCATATGTAGATGTTTGCAGGGTTGAGGTTTTAAACTGAATATACATTAGTCACTAATTTTGAAGGAGTATTGTTGGCTCCTTCTGCCCTTGGAGATTATATAAGCTGCTATGTATCAGATTTCTGAGTTTGTCTGAGTGCAGGTTATAGTCCTTTGGTACCTGAAAAACTGAACCTGCATTTTAATTATTTTAAGTCAAGATATAGAATGTCCCTAGATGCCAGCTCTCAGTGCATAGTTATAAAAAATACAGAATCCTTCAGTACTTCTATAAAAATAATTTTGACTTTGTTGCAGACTGTTTTCTCTTCAAAGTAATTTAAATTAATTTTCTTGAAGTGTAAAGAGTGGCCGTATGCTAGTTCTGCTTTGTGCAAGGAAATTCTGATTATCTGCTTTCTCCTCCAATGCTCTGGTGGGATAATTTCATAAACTGGCAGCTAAACCTTTTCCTGTGTAGTGTATTAATGCAGAAGAAGGGAGGGAAAGTTTAGCAGTGTTAGCAGTATGTAGTGCTGTCTGTTTTGACTTACAGGACTTGCTTTCTGTCACTTCCATTTTCTAAACTGGGAATCATATTTCAACTGTTAAGAAGTTTTGCTGTGGGGACAGGTTAAGTGAGTTGAGGCTATTCAGCCTGGAGAAGAGAAGGCTCCAGGAAGACCTTAGAGCACCTTCCAGTGCCTGGAGGGGCTCTAAGAAAGTTGGGGAGGGGGCTTTTCACCAGAGGGCAATGATAGGTCAAGGGGTAACAGTTTCAAGCTGAAAGACAGGATATTTATTTAGATTAGACATCAGGAAGAAATTCTTCACTGTGAGGACACATAAGATTGCCTAGAGGTGGTAGAAGCCTGGAGGTGTTTAAGGCCAGGTTGGATGAGCCTTTGTGCAATGTGGGAGGTGTCCCTGCTTGTACCAGGGAGGTTGGAACCTGATAATTGTTAAGGTCCACTCCAACCTTAAGCATTCTGTGGTTCTATGAAGCTGTAGTTTCCTCAGTATAGTATTTGGTGTTGCCGTTCTTTGCCATGGGAAGAACACTCATGTACCAAGAAGTTACTCTTTTGAGGACTGTGAGTTCTTAGTACCATACTCTTAAAATACAAGGCCATTTTGCTTCCATTTGAATGCCCATTCATAGTTTCCTAAACTTAGCAATCCAGACCACAGCAAACAGAAATATGGTGTTTAGCACAAAGATTGTGTAATTTCTTCTCCAAGACAGGAGATCTTTGGAACATAAAAGGCCTCATCCTTCTGTACATGAAGGAATATTTTAAAGTTTAAAGTTTACACCAAGATCTATGTTTATAGTCACTTGTTGTACATGGGGAGCTAGAATTTAAGTTTCCTACTAGCAAGTTTCAGTGTGATGTGAAAGGCAGAAGAAAGTAAAGGAAGAGTGTAGGAGCTTTTACAGTGTTATGATAGTGTAGAGGTCTGTCTCAGAAGAGCAACTTCTGTGTTCTGCTGCTCTAATTCTTTCCTTAGTCTGTCTCTCCATCTGTTGCTTTGCAGTTTTTCACTTACAGGAAAAGTGTGTCATTTGTGTAGAGCATATTGTATTGAATTAAAAAATAAAGTAAAAAAAAACCCAAAGTTAAAAATAATGTTGGTACACTGCCATGATAGGTCAAGTATTCCCTTTAAAACTGAAAAATTAGTGTGTGTCAGGGATGTATTAATTCAGCACACTTGGTATTAAGCGATTAAATTTCTCAAATAAAGTAGTAGCATATGGGGAAAGGAAAAAAATTACTTACTGAAAGGAATTCTGTCCACATAATCATGGTGATGATTTAAAGTATTGCAGTATGTCATGGAGCAAATCTGTAGTTCCTTTTGTAGTCCTTCCATGTTGTTTCACATACTGTACATACCATTGGCAGGAACCTAGAAGAGTTTCAGTCCGGAAGTCGATGCAATTTGCCTGGTCTTTGGTGTGTTTTCCACAGACAGTTTCTGTTCTCTAGATCTGTGAAAATATGTGCTTAGAAGAGATGGAATTTTTAGGGTGTTGGTTAAATTGTCTGCAGTTTTTTTGGTCCTGGTTTACTTTTTCATTACACTGTTCTATTGTAGTTATTTTGACTCTCCCACTACCAGCGCTGCTGAATAGTTTTATTATGGTTTCTGAGTGGTCTCTTTGAGCTTTACCACATGCTGGCTTCAGCCAGAGCCAGCCCAGCATCCCCTCTGCCCACAGCCATCCTTTCCCTCTCCTCCATACCATGGTGTGCCACCCTCACTTGCCCCCCCCCAAATCCATTGGGTCCCCAGTGTAAATCAAGCCATTGAACTGATCCAGGTTTAAAATAACCCTGGTAACCCTCACTCCTTCTCCCTTCTATTTTGGGGAGGTTATTTTTAACAGAGATCAGTTTTGAGGGCTGGTTCATGACATGGCACATGAGCAGTGAGGTACACATGAGGTGGGACAAATTGTGTAATATGTTAATGTGCAGCAGGGTCAGGGGGTAGAAGTCCTTAAAATGATTCAGAAACCAAAATCTTCAATACAATAACGATAATATATTATGAATAAGAAAAGATGTGAACTTTGCTGCAAAAAGTGTTCCTTAATTCTGTAGGTAACAGCAAAATTATTTGTCCCTATAGATATTCACCCTGATGTGTATATTGATACGTTATTATTCCTGTCTAAATAAATCATGGAAGAGGAGAGCTGCTCTGGTGTGACAGCATCACTAGCTTTACAGAGTAATTACAAACAGATTTGCTCTACTGGGGTATGTTTCCTATGTGGCTATCTTAAATGTCACAGATTTTGGAATGGAGAAGTAGGCAAAATATTTTCTCTAGTTGGTATAGCTGTGGGAAGCTGAAAAAGCTGGGAGACTGAGCCTCATCACTTGGGTGTCTGCGTAATACTGTATGGAAGTTGGGCTGCTATCATGACAAGTAAATACAGGGCTCTTTCTCTTTCTTGTCCAGACTTGCTTTATTATTTTGAGCAAGTCACTTCACTGTCTTCACTCTCACTTTCTTTTTTTAATGCTCTATATATCCAGTAATCTCTAAAACGGTGAGAAGATACATATCTTGAAGAAGTATTGAAGCATTTTGAGGT